GGTCTGGTTACTATTATTTATCTCTTTGTTTACTTGAAATGTAATGTAGTTGGATTTATATAGCGAAGTTTCAAAGAGCTCAGGGTATTTAGACACTAGCTGCTTGTACAAAGTGAAGTGCCAACAAATTTCTCATGATCTGCTATCAGCGATTTTCGGCAACCACCACAGAGATCCAATTGATATGTGCCATGTACCATAGAAAATAAAAAGAAAATAAAACTGAAAAACATTGTCTTTGGTGTATTTACTTTACTTTACCTACTTCAAAGCCACTTCGGGTGCGAATATTTGTGACCGAAGACCACAAAAGGGCTGTAAACTCGCATCACCAGGTTTCGAGAAAAAAGGGCCAAATAGATAGTATAACATGTAATTTGAGCAAAATGTGATTATGTCGTAAATATGAAGTATTACCCTGTCTCTTATGAAGTATTACCTTTAATCTTACTATTTTTGAAGTTTAGGTTCAATATTTCAACTCTAAACCCTAAAATTTAGTAATTTTATGAAGGCCATTCTACGAGAAACGTATATAAATTCGCAAACTTTCAAGCCGCCATACTTCGCTTCCAAACAACTTATTCACTAAGCCTACACAAATTTCAGGTCCCCAACTAGATAAATTAAAACTATCGGATAATAATATGTTTATTAGTACTCGTATGCTATGTAAGTGATTTCGGAATAAACAAACAGTGTAGTTATAAAATAATAGAATGGTCACAGAGCCAGGTTAGGCCTCTGAGAACATTCGGTTCTTTGTAGTGAAGTAAATGTAAAACGTCTTCATGAAGTCATTCAAAATCGTGTACAAAATAGTCGAACAAACTTTAAAGTATGAAAGTATTTGTAGTTATTCGTACTGTGGTACGAAGCTTACGTAAATGTACAGTATACCTAAATGAAGGAAATCCTTTAATTAATTCAAAGAATACTAAACTATTTCATGGCTTGTTGGGAAAGATTTGGAAAACAATCCTCTTGCCCTCTGGCAGTGAAGCGGGCCAGAAATGACGTAGATTGCGGTTGAGTACATGTTAAGAAACTAGTCATGGTTATTGAAACTTTTAAAAAATATTGACGCCAACACAACAATCATCTGCACTATTTTCAGCGATGTAAAACGTATTGATGAAGTATATACATACAACGCCATTCAAATCGTGTACAAAACAGTTAAACAACTTGAAAGAATCAAACGATATCGTGCGTGTTGACATTACAACTGCTTTAGAAATATATCTTCAAAAGTAATTTTCTAGACAATAGCACCATGGTACAGACTATATTTACTGAATGAAGAAAACAACCTTGAAGTAATTCAAAAGATACGAAGCGGTTCATGTCTTGTTTTGAAAAAAAAAATGATCTTCACACATCTGAACCGAATTACCTTGTCCTTAGTTTCCGACCATACACCTATCCCTATGTTGTTTTAATTATACTAAAAGTGTTGCTTTTTAGTCAGTTCATTTAAAAAAAAAATAAAATCTATGCTTAAATATTCATCTCCCGAAGAATGTTATTTCTTTTTCGTGTATTTATTTTCGAAAGTTTCGGCCATTCCACTCGCCTTCATCAGCTTTACTGAGTGCACAAGATTGGCTGTTGCAAGCTGTATACTGTACAATTATACACATCTAGATGTGTATAAGAGACAGCATTTTAAACGTTAATTTTATGAATATTTTTTTATGTGATTGTACATTGTTTTTAAAAGTTTTATGCGAGCATTCAGTTTCCTTCGTTGAAGGATGAATAAAGTTTTACTTTGACTTTGACTTTGA